GGGGGGTGGGGGGTGGGATGTGGGGGGCCGTAGGAAGCCAGAAGGTTTATGTAACCCAAGACATCAGAGACAAATCTCTGGAGGCCCAGTGTGAGCTCCACACGCACGCATAAACAGGCAGCATGAACGATACACAGTAACAGCTCTTCTGTTCTGCTATTTATTAACTCAATGTTGCCATGGTTTCTCTGCGCTGACGTGACTGCCATTGTAAATCTATGTGTGACCATGGTGTGTTTTGCAAGACAAAAAAAAATGGATAGCCATTTGGTTTGACTGAACTTGTTCTAGAGCAGCCCTTCGTTGTCCAGCTGAACGCCACTATCTATCAAAATCAACAAACACTGATAATAAGTGGCAATTTCATTAGGCTTCGGCCATCTCCACTGCGCGTACCTGGCTTTTGTTGCAATCCCTCTTAAGCCGCGCCACCAAAAGTCAAGCAATTCAGCCAGTTAAGTGTTGAGGCGTGAGGCTTAGGAGGGAAGGAGTGTGCATGTACAGATCACATCCATTAAACAAACACACCACCACACTCCCAGATCTCTCTGTCTGGCCTGATAATGAGTCATTAGCTTTCAAATCCCCCTAGTTAGTATGAGCTCACACAGTCACTCAGTATGTGTCCATGTTTTTCTAAATAATCCTGGTGTAAACGACTTGGACTTGGTAAACTAATGAGCTTCAGAGTCATTTTCGCCCACGATCCTCCCTCTCTCCCTGGTCCGTCTCTGGAAAGCGGAGGAACTTCTCCGTCCAGCTAACATCCCACCTCTCTTCACTCAGCCTCCTCGTCTTTATCCCTTTTTTCCCCCGTTGCGTCGCCACCTACCCTGCTTTCAAAGCTTTTGAAATTCTTTCAAGTGAGACAGCCTGCAGCTGAAAAGAGATAAGGCTTGAGCTCTTCATAAATATGATAGAGAAAGCAAAACGGCAGAGAGAAGGGGGAGAGAGACAGAGAGGCAGAAAGGAAAAGAGGGGGGGTATAGAGAGAAAGAGAGAGAGACAGGCGGAGGTGGAAAGGGAAAGAGGGAGAAAGAAAACGAGAAAGGTGGAAAACAGAGATAGAGAGAGAGACAGGTTGAAGGAGAGACAGCTGAATACTGTGAGCTGAATGAGTTATGAGATGCAGATTGCAAACCAGCTACATTCATTCACTCTCTTTATCACATTCATGATAAAGAGCTGTGTAGCCTCTTTTCCTTTCCCTTCGCTTCAGCTACCTGCTGTCTGTCTCCGATGTCGTCTGTCTGCAGCCCCGGCTATCTTTAAATCTGTCTCACCGTCCCCATTGTTCACTCTGCCACCCAAACAAAGAACGCCAACATTCACGATGACAATTGATTCATCAAATGCAAAAAGAGAGTAAGGGAGAGTCAGGCTAAATCTGCATCAGGAACCCACACACATAGTGCTGCAATACAAGTGTGCCAGCACCCTTCCACCAGCACTACGGCCACATTGTGCGTGTTGTCGTCAGATCAGGGGAATGGCAGCTATGTGAACTTTGTGGAATGCTGCCTGTGGGCTCCTACAGCACCCTTACAATGGAAAAGCACAGAACTACGAACCAACATGGAGAGGGGATCAACTACGAGGTAAATCAATTATTCGACTCATTATCAACACAAAAGTGACTGACTTTCCCTATTTGCATCATCTGATACTCAGATGATGCAAATAGGGAAATACGCCCATGTCACAAGTACATGGAGCCCATGGTGACATCACATAGCTTTGTTTGTGCAACCAACGGTCCAAAAACCCAAGGTGATCCATTTACAATCAAATAAAACAGACAAAGGCATGAAATCTTTCCATTTGAGCAGCTAGAAAAAGTGAATGTTGGACAGTTTTGCTTAATAAATTCAAATTCAAGCCACTATGTTTAGAGATAGAGTTTGAGTTTTTGATTTCGTTGCCTCCAAGTATTATGAGAAATGACCCCTAATACACATAAACAGACAAAAATGTTATGTATCTGTATATATCTAAATAATCAATAGCTTTGAAGAATAATTCAGTTTTATTGCATGTTGGGTCTTATCTTTATTGTTTTGGTATTCACTTTAATTAACTATAAGAGTATTCTACTGGCGCCACCAAGTTAATTGCGTAGTAATTTAACTCAAAAGCCTTCAAACCATCAGACAGGTTTTAAACAAAACCACAGGTTAGCAAAATGTGTCGTGTATGAGAAAATAAAGATAGACTGTACAATTATTACCCAAACTGTGTGCTGTAAACATAAATTATAGTTTACAAACAGACTTTGTGGGTCCACTTTGACCTCTTTTCAAGTAGCTTAGACAACTGGAGGTTGCTGGAGATATGTCACCGACTCACCAGGTTCCCAAATTTCAGAAATTGCACTACAGTAAATGTTAGCGTGTTCGATAAATACGATGGACAAAAGTATGAAAATAAGACCCAAGTTGTAATGACCCAGATTTACACTTCAAATGATTATTGATAATTGGAGCAGCATTATATGTATTGATGCATTTCTCAGGATCTCCACAACTTACTGTCATTTTCTTGACTCTATTTTTTACAGTATTCCTCCCAAGCACAGAAATATGAGAACACACAAACAGCAATCCTGTCTGAGTGCTCGGAGATGTCAGCTTTCACTAATGTCACTTTTCTAAAAGGTCACAACGCATTTGGATTCAGCTAAATTGTCTTGGGCTGCTACTGCTGCTGACTGGACGCATGTTGAGCACTCACCCTCTCATTGGCCACGCAGATGATCCTGGCGTAGCAGCAGATCATCAGGAAGATGAGGCTGAACAGAGGCACGTACCATCTGCAAAGCAAAAACACAAGCCGGCAGTAAGAAATCTCCAAATGAGCAATGATATTAAAAGATCATTCCTGTTGTTTTTCTTGTGATGGTTTTTGTTCTTTGGCCTCTTTGTAGTACTGCTTTAGGAGGAGGGACACTGGGTTTTGGAGTACTTTTTGGGCCAAAAGAGTTTATATTTTGATAGATTGTGATGGACAGATTAGACCACAGAACGTCCTAAAATCCTCTGCAGGACTGTAATCTGAGAAGGCCATTGTTGTGAGATATGATTTGGAGTAGAACTGGACAAAACCTTCTGATCTTATCTTTCGCTTATAGTAAAATAATTGTTTTTCAGCCATTCTAAAACTCTTTAAAAGCGTCACAGTGACCACCACTAAACTAAACTGCACATTTAAGTATATTATAAATAGGTGAGGATGTTTAGCTGGCGGACGCTGTACAGCATTACTCTAAACAGCTGATGTATAGAGGACACACAGCACGTACATAAACAGCACAGTGAAATAGGCCTGACTCAGCACTTCTGGACCTTAATGCACATAGTTTCAGTGAGTGGAGAGAGAAAGAGGGAGACAGAGAAACAGAGATAATGCCTCCAAAGTCACAATACCGGAAATGCATGGCATTCCTATGGGATGAACGGTTGACAATCAAGGGAGGCGCGGGTGGAGAATAATAACATGTCAGGTATTTCTGAGTGGATGAAAGAGAGCGGAACGAGTGAGGGAAACGGGGTGATGGCTTTGTTGGAATGGCAGCCTTGTGTTGCGCAACCTCTTGGGAGGTGATGTAAGCTCCGAGGAGTTTCAACCCCTCCCTGTAATCATGAAGCAGGGCCTTTGTCTCGCTTTGATAGACAGGTTCCTGGCCACCACGTCTCTGTTCAGCTTCAGTAACTCTGAGCAGAAGAGACTGTGTGGTGCGACAGCCAAGTCCTCCCGAGCACCTGGCACAGGCTGGGAGGCAGTGGCCAAACACACCTATGTGATAAACATACTGGATCGCGAAAAGGAACAACATCAAGAGTAATTATAGGTCTAACTATGATCCAGAAGGGAAAAAAAGTTGACATTCAAAACAGAGAGACTGAATCTGTGTCTGACCCATAAATACAGGCACACATGGTTTCAAAGGAAAATGAATTGGGAATAAATGTCCATCACTGTGCCTGAAAAGTCCTTGGCATGTGTGCTAAAAAACTGCGACTTGCGAATATTAGGTCCTTGGCCTAATTTAGCTTGGTCCACACTTGTCTTCTAAGCCTGCGGGTCAAAAAAAAAAAAAAAGTCTGATCAAATTAAACTTTTTATTGGCAGGGGAATCCGGGATGGTAGGCGTTGATTTCACGGCAGGATACGGGGAAAGGGAACGGCCACTTTACACACATGTTCCTTCACATCTTGTAGGGAACATCAACTCACAAAGAATCCCCTCTTTGAAACGTGTGTGTAAGTGTATGTGCACGTCTGCGCAGGTTCAATAATGGCATGGGACAATGATGAAAGGGTTTCAGGGGAGACCTGCGCGAACGTCACCTTGGTGTGATTTAATAACCCGCTCTCCGGAATAAACAGCGTCCAATTACACTAGCGCACGTCCCGTTAATGATGGAGAGACGAGGTGGGGGGTGGGCGAGTTGGCAGAGAGGGGAAAGGAGGGGGTGGCCTTTTTAACGATAGCGTGGGGGGGGCTGCGAGGAGGAGAGAATGACGGGCGGCAGCTACAAAGTGCTCTAATTAGCATGATAATGATCTGCCATTAGAGTCCGCTGTGCTCTACAGCTGAGCACT